ATTATGCATCTGATAGATTGGCCACCTCTTCGTCACTTAATTATATTTTTTCTATGGCTTTGATCTGTTTTTTCATTTGGGCCATTTTTTTTTTTTGTCTTGATGCACCTGTTATGTATGAGGGGCGGAGCCTTAGGTGTTCACCAGGGCGGGGCAACCCAGTCCCTGGTTGTGATGCTGTATGTGGGGGCGGGGTCTGAGAGGGAATAATGGCGCTTACTCTGCTCTCCGCGGATTTCTGTCAATTGTGAAACCAGAAGGGCCCACAAGCAAAGTGGGCCCTTCTGGTGCTGATTCCTGGGTTGGTGGGTTTGTGCATGTTCTAGAACCCTGTGGGCCTCCTCAATGAACTCTCCTGTGAGGCTGGGAGTTTCTCCCACTGCCACCTCAGCCCCCACAGATGTTTTCAATTGGTGTTTTGAGGCTTGATTTCTCTGAGCTAGGGCCCTGGGTTGTGTCATCTGTCTAGCTCCTCAGTTTCACCTGGTTTATCTGTGCACAAATATAGGGCCGCCCAGTCCCCCAGCCGCCTTGCACGCCGTGCTTCTTCATGATCCACCGCCTCGCTGGGTCCACCAGCCACCACTTTGCCGTGACCCCTCTCCGCCCAGTCGCCCAACTCCGCCCTGCCTACCGGTCTGGATGAATGTGTCTACTTCTACTCCTTGGTGTCGGACTTCCATAAAGTTCAGTTTTCTGTCAGTTCTGGTTGTTTTGTATTTTTAAATTGTTGTTGTCCTCCTTTTGGTTGTGCGAGAAGGCACAGTGTGTCTACCTACGCCTCCATCTTGGCCAGAAGTCCCTGTGTTTCTTCCTTTCTAATTCTTCTGCCTTTTATATGATGTCTCTGTCTCACTGTCCTGACTAGCACTCCAGAATAATGTTGAATAAGCAGGGGATAATAGAAATCCTTTTCTCATTCATTAAAGGAAGTTTTCTGACTTTTCAATGTAAGTGTGATGTTTGCCCCAGGCTTTTAGTTAGGACCTTTTATCAGACTAAGGAGGTTCCCTTTTATTCCCATTTTTCTAAGAATTGTTTAATTTTATCAACTGCTTTTTCTGCCCTTTTGAAAGCATCTTCTTTTCTCCTTTTAATCTGTTAATGTGCTGAATTTCACTAATAGATTTTTGCATTCATGGGATAAAATGAAATTTGACTTTTATTTTAATACATTTCCAGATTTGGTTTGCTATTTCTAAGGGGTTTTGGAACTGATGAGATTGGCCTGATTATCCTTTCTTCTACTGTCTTTCCCTGGCTTGGCATCAACTTACATGTATTAGTCTCATAAAATGATTTGGGAAATTTCTCCACATTTCTATTGTCTATAACAGTTTTATAAGATCGTGGTGATCTATTCCTTGATTTCACAGAAAACTGTAAAACACTCTGGGTACCATGAGATTTGTCTTGTTTTGGGTTTTTTTAAAGTAAATTTTTAAACTATTGATTTAATTTATTTGGAGAAAATTGAAAGATTCAATTTATTTGAAGAAAGTGGGGGGAAGGTTACTTTAGTCACTTTTGGTAAAAATATTTTCTAGAAAATCATATGTTTTATCTGAGTTTTCAAATTCATTGGCATAAAGTTATTTGCATTGTTCTTGTTTTGTATTCTGTTGCATCTGTATTTAAATGTACATTTTCACTTTTTTTTATTAGTATTTTCAGAGCTTTATCTGATTTAAAAAGCTTTTAGTTCATTAATCATCTATATGGGATCTTTATATCTTTCACTAACTTTATTAATGTTTACTAGTTTCTTCTTTGTTCTTTCTCTGGTTATATTTTATATTCTTTTTCTAATCCCCTCAAGTGTATTATTAGCTTACTGATATTTTTTACTTTCTTATTTCCTAATAAAAGCATTAATAACCATAAGACCCATGTAGCTTAATCCCACAAGCTTTTGAGATATAGTATTTTCATTATAAACTCTGAATACTTTCTTATTTTGATTTTGATTTCCTCTTTGACCCATAAGTGATTTAGAAGTTTGTGTTTTACTTTTCCAAACAATTTTTGTAACCTTTTTGTTGTTAAGTTAAAATGGTATTGCATTCTAGTCAAAGAATGTGAACTGAGTGATGCTAGTTGGTTGAAGTGGTTGAGACTTCCACTGTAACATAGTTTAAGGCTCATCTGAATAAGCAATAGTAGCTAATACGTATGTAGTGCTCACCATGTGCCAGGATCTGTCTTAAGAGTTTATCATAAATTACAAAACAATAACTGAAGAATTTTGTAGAAACTAAAAGAGAACTTACTTTTTTGTTACTAAGATATTGATAAAAGATGGTCTATCAAACTACAGTAAGTAATACAATGGAAAATAGGAGAAAAAGGCAATTCCCTTGAAAGAGATAAAAGAAATTGCAGAGAAATGAGAGGCTAGTACCATCAATTCATATTTTTGTAGAATTCTTTGTAAGGCATAATGTAACTCACAACTTAATTGACAGTCTTTTCTCTTCCTTCGTAATAGAAGATCTCATGATTCATGCCTTCTTACATTTGTAGAATTGCAATAACTATATCTAAAGTTATTCAATAGCTTTGTTCTCCTTTTACTATAAGGACCTTGGAAGACTTAAATGCCCATCTCATTCTTAAGCAACACTTTTATTCCATTTTGTTTAATTCCCCAGAAACTATTTTTTTAAATTATCGATTTTTTAAAAATTCAGCCAATGTTCACTTCTAGTACCTAATACTTTCCTGTTTCTTTTCTGATCATACTTTTGAACTCAAATTTTCACTTTCTGAAGGGTACATTTTAAAAGTCCCTTTCATAAAGATCTATTAGTGACAAAGTCTCGATGTTTATTTTTTGAAACATTGTTTATCATTTTGCTCTTAATTTTGAATGGTACTTACCTGGATATAAATTTCTAGATTGGCAATCTTTATTTCTCAGCAATTTCCACTATTGCTGTTATGAAATCTACTGTTAGTTTACTTGTCATTTTTTAATAGTGATCTGTCTTTTCTTTTATATTATTTTCTCTGTGTCTAGAGGTCCATGGTTCTATTATACCTCTAGACACCATTTTATTTGCATTTTCCTACTCAATCCTCATTGTCTATTGTGACTTTGAGTTTTATGCTTTTAATCAATTTTGGAAAGTTTTAAAATATTATATCAAATATTATCTTTTCCATCCATTCTCTCCTTCTGTACATCTTATTTATTTATTCATATAGGTATTCCACAGGTATTTATTTGTCTTCTATCTTTCAGCAATATTCTAGGTATTAGAAATATAGTAGTGAACAAAGCCAACAAAAATTTTGCCCTTATATTCTTTATATTCTATCCTATTTTATCTTCCATTCCTCTTCATCTTTTGTATTGTTCACCTCTATATGATACATTATGGTTTCATTTCCTCAGCTCTATATTTCAATCCGTAATCATAAATAACTTAAATTTCCAATTTAAAGAAGGAAAAACAATAAAATCCCCAAAGATTGACATATTTGAGCACCTAAAAACTTAGTGTGTCAATAAATAGCAACAAAAAAAAAATCCAAAAATACTGAAGCATGGAGACACATTCCCAAGCAATATGCCAAATGTTGACTTAACATCCTCCCAAGAAAAAGATATTGCACCACAGAAGAACCAAAAAAAAAAAAAAATGGAATCAACTAAGGAAAAATAAACAGAAGAATACAGTGGGCATTTCCAAAGGAGGAAATACAAATGGCCAATAAACATGACAAAATATTCAATCTTTCTTCTGATCAAGGAAATTCCAAGTAAAACAGCAATGAGGTATTGTTTTTCGCTGATCACTTTAGCAAAACAAAGATACTTTTTTCTTGCAAAAGTACAATAGGCAGAGTATGTTTTCACCCAGTTGATGGGAATATGAATCAGTAAGACTTTAAGGAAAATAGTTGGGCAGAATGTATCGTGAACCTTAAAAAACGTTTTTGTACTTTGCCTCAGAAATTTCCACTTCTGGGGAACCTAGGCTCAAATTAGTCTACAGTGTGGAGAGGGCTTCATGCATAAGATGGCTTCTGCAGCATTAGTTGTAGCAGTATGAAAAGGTTGTCAGCAATGGAGTTTGCACTGGAGCTGGAGCTCGCTGGGGTAGGAAGCCCCATCACCTCCTGTCAGAAGGCACATGCTGGTGTGGGATCCAGTCCACCACGTGGAGTTCACAATCAGACCAATCTCCACATTAAAGCAGTAGGCCTAGTTTTCATGTTTAGATTTTGTTTTGTTTTGTTTTAGATTTTATTTATTTTTTATTTTTTTTAGAGAGGGAAGGGAGGGAGATATATAGAGAGAGAAACATCAATGTGCGGTTGCTGGGGGTTGTGGCCTGCAACCCAGGTATGTACCCTTGCTGGGAATCGAACCTGCGACACTTTGGTTCGCAGCCCGCGCTCAATCCACTGAGCTACGCCAGCCAGGGCAAGTTTAGATGTTTTGAAGGGTCATATCATCTCTCAATAAAGATCTGAGGAAGAATTAAAATAAGAGGAATGTAGGGAAATTGAGTTGGGGAAAGTTAAAATGGATTTGGTAGTTGTTTGGAAAAAAAAAGATGAAATGATCTGTTCTATTGTGTACAGAGAGAGAAAGCGTATGAGGAGAAATTGGAAGGTAACTTGAAATATTTCACAAAAGTTACTGAAATGTCAGAGTAAAATAATAATGATAATAATAATGGACTTAGAAACTGAAATAGCCTGAAGACTAAACCCACTTGCAAGTGAATAATTAAGCTCCTTTGGACTCTCACTCCTTCTCTGTGTCTCTGGGACGCAGGGGCCTGCTCCACCTGAGCAGCGCTCCAACCCTGCCCCTTCCACAGGCTCCCCGTCTCTGAAGAAGGCATGTCCTATTGGGCTTTACAACCTCACCCCCAGCACACGGTTTTGCGCGTCTGTTTGCTAAATGACTCAGTTTGTATTTTGTCCTGCCTTTGACGGATAACTTTCCAGAGTATTATTTAACATGAAGGTTTTCTTCTAAATAGGATTACCAAACCAACAACAATGATCAGGCAGTGGTTGAAATCTGCATCACAAGAATCACAACAGCCATCAGAGAGACAGAGTCCATTGAAAAGCACGCGAAGGCCCTTGTGGCGCTCTGGGACTCCTGCCTGGAACACAACCTGAGAACCTCTGGGAAAGATGAAGACACTCCCCATGCAAAAATCGCCTCTGATATCATGAGCTGCATTTTACAGGTATGTCGGTGCTATTTGATACTGGCTTGGCAGTTTAGGTGAACACGTAATGTCTCTGAACCAAGAGCCAATGTTTCTGTAGTGTTTGGCTACTGTCAAAAGATACCACAAACCATCAATAGCTAACCCAGACAGGCTGGTCATTAACAAACCTACTATATGCAAGATGCCCTGTGAGGAGTTCAAAGGAAAACCACAGCAAGCTCTAATTTGTTTGGAGAGATAAGACATGTACATATGAAAAGCTGACAATAAAGCAATGTGTGCCCAGATTTACACGAGGAATACTGGAAAATGCAAAAAAGAAGGCCTCTTTCATCCAAGGAGACTAAAAACGGGAGTGGAGTCTGAACTGAGGGGCAATGAGTTTGGCATGTGTGAGGAGAATTAACTCATTTTTAAGTGCATTTCTATGTGCATTGTGAATTCTCCATAATAATATTTGCCTGTTCTGATCACGTTAAATTCTTTCCTCTGGCATAAACATCATTTTGGAATTTTGGCGCAGCCACAACACAATTATGTGAGATTGAAGTGTTGGGCAGGACGCTTAACTTCCTAAACCACAGTTTCCTCCTGGTAAAATGCAGATGAAGCAACAGTGTCTGAGACAGATTTTACCATCCAGTGGTGGTGAAAGGTGTTTCTCCAGAGAGAATCCTGTGATCAAATAAGTTGGTAAACACTGAACTCAGTATTTCCCTTTTGAGCTATCCCAGTGCTTCATAGTATGTTAATGTCTCTGGAAAGTCCTGGAATGAAGAAAGCCAGCTGTTTAGTACCACATTTTCTACTCCGATTTGACCATGAAGTTTCTCCCCCAGCCCACCTCTAACACATCATATGTGAACAGCCCTCAGGACTGTGGTTCCTCTAAGCACAGTCCAGGGAATTCTGACTACGTCTAGCACCGTGTGTGGCAGCTAATGTTAGTTTCATTTCTTCTCTTATTTTTTTTCTCACAGTTGTCTATGCTTAACTGGAGCATATTTCATATTCAGTCCAGGGACTGGCCAACTGAACAGAAGACCCTACACACACTCTCACACTGTTTTTTAAATTTTGTTTTGTTTTGTTTTTTATCTCTAGGGTTAAGGATGAGAGGGGAGGAAATGGGGATTTCAATAAAATTAATGAGATATTAATGTTGCTTGGATATAACCACAAAGAACTAATAAATCTGTTCTTCATTGGTTATCTTGAATATGTTATTAACATACATCAGAAGCAGATTATTGATGCCAAAGTGCCACTCCAGGGACTTTCAAACCGAAACCCACAAATCAGCTGTACTCTTTAGCTCCCATTACAATTTCAAAACCACTGGTCTAGACTCCAGAACAGTGCCGCCCAGCAGGCCACAGACGCCAGCCACCTATGTCATTTGAAATTCTCCAGTAGCAACATGAAAAAGTACAAAGAAACACATGAAACTGATTTGTGCTAATGTGTTTTCTTTAACTCAGTATATCCAAAATATTATTATTTCAGCATGTAATCTATATTAAAATTAATTAGATACTTTACTTTTTTAAATATTGGGTTGACCAAAATGTTCATATGATTTTTTTCTATAAGATAAAAGACAGATTTTTCATTTTCACCAATAACTTTATTGATTTGAATATTTTGTGTATGTCAGTTATCTCCCATGTGGTATAAAATTGATTGTTCTCAATGAATGTCTCAATTTGATCGCTATCGACTTCAACTGGTGTACTCAACCGTGGAGCATCATCCAGTCCGAAATCTCCAGCACAAAACTTCACAAACCACTTTTGACACATTTGATCAGTCACAGCACCTTTTCCATACACTGTACAAATCTTTTCTTGCTTTTCAGTTGCATGTTTACCTTTCTTGAAATAAAAAAGCATAATATGCTAAAAATGGTGTATATTATCTTCCCCCTCCAATATTAATATGGCTACACAAAAATCCACCAATTTTTATGTGTTTTTTAAAATGCATGTTGATATGACAGCTGTCATGATACAATCTAATAAAACTGTTTCGAATGAAGTTAAAGACAACTAAGCGCTACTAGAGCCATCTTACCGAAAAACCCAAATGAACTTTTTGGCCAGCCCATACTAAATCTTACAAATCTGGCGTGTGTTTGAGCATGTCTCGCTTTGGAGTACTCAGCCTCTCAGGTGCTCAAGGGCTTCCCGTGGGGAGTGGCTCCTGGGGTAGTGCAGTTCTAGAGAGTCAGGAAGATATTCTGGATGGAGATCACATTTGGACAGTAATTAGGAATTTCACTGATGGATTGAGAGAACGTTCCAAGAAAAAAAAAAAACAGCATGTGTAAAAGTCCAGATTTGTGAAATAAGACCAAGACAGAAAAGCAGGCTGCCCATCCCAAATGCCCTAAACTTTAATACAAACGGATGTTTCATTCTGGGTAAGGGGTTATGTCTCCTACTTAAAAGTTGGGGGTGGGGTGGGAGAGAAGGCAGCAAACGCTTCTGAGAAATAAAAAGGCTAAACTTACTGCTGGTCAAGGACTCAGTGATTCAGTGGAAATGAGCTTGTAAGATTGTTGAGAACAGGGTCCCGAGGACGAACACTGATATTTTGGAAAGAGACTGAGAAACGAGCAAAGGGATAGGCCTCTTGGTTGAAAAGGACAAGGAACACCAGCCTGTAGAGCCATTGTGGGCACAGGGTGTCCTTGGTGCGCCCTCCAAGGAGGCAGAAGGTTTTATAGGAGAAGGCAGGAAGCCCTAAAGGGAAACTCGCCTTTCAGCAAGGGTCAGCGATTCGTCCCGGCCACCCCTGAGGTTGTGATCCCAGAAAGTCAGCTCCAGAACCGCAGGCAAGGCTGTGGTCTCAGCGCTAGCATTTGGCTTTCATCAGATTTTCAGGAGAACTATAGTAAATACTGAAAAGATGATTTTACCCTGCTTATCATTTGGGTTTTTGTGGGAACCATGTATAAGTCCAGATGACTCATGTTCTATGCTGTTATTTCAGTATAGATCACTGTCAAAAGCCATCCTTAGCATTTTTAGCTTGCACCACAGCCAAAAAAAAAAAAAAAGAAAAGGAGAGAGAGAGAGTGATTTCCTCTCTACCCACCCCTTCTCCCCAGATAAGCAACCTCAGCATCAAGCCAGGCCCCATCAGTGCTTTGCACACCCTTGCCCATTTCACTCAATTTTTTTTTCTGGGCACTTCACTGTCATTGTAAACATAAATATGTTCACTCACACACACAAAAAAAATTAGTCTTATTTTCCCCCAAATTACCTTTTTAAACTTATACACCAACCTACCCCAAGGGACCATTCCTATTCCTCTTTTAATGAGTAATTATATGTGGTAGGCAAAAGTAGATTCACATTTGTACAAATAAGTAACACAATAATTAATAAATGTTAATACAAGAATAAACTGTGTTGCACACACTCACAACTGTAAACCTACTTTTGCCAATTTCTGTATTGAATCCTTTCTTTTGTTGGTTCCTAAATTAACCTTAAAATAATATAAAATCCCAGAATTCACCCTCTAGACATTCCTCAGTATAAAACCAGTACAGGTATGCAGCATGCACTTCTGAGTTCTGCTTTCTCTTGCCTTGGATGATAAGGTGAGGACAAACTTAACTGATTTTAGAGAGAGGGGAAAGGAGGGAGAGAGACAGGGAGAGAAACATCAGTAGGGGAAGAACCCACAGCCTAGGCATAGGACCTGACCAGGAATCGAACTTGCAACCCTTTGGTTTACAGGAGGACACTCCAATCAACTGAGCCACACCAGCCGGGGCTGGGTGAAGCTCCTTCTACAAACCCATCCTGAGTCCTTAGACAAGTCTCTCAAACTGTCATCTAGAAAACAAAGGATGGACCAGAGCACCTCCAGTTTGACATTCTGATGGCCTTAGGAGATGCTGAGAGGTGGAATGGCAAAGAGCTTCAGAGCTTGAGGGCCTTATAGTCAGATGCTATTTGTCTTGTATGAATCAAAGATCATTCATTTTATCTCTCTAAGCCTCTGTTCTGACTATTGTAAAATGGGCATAACAAACTCGTTGCTCAGGAAGAGCATCTTTTATTATAAAAGCAATCTCCCTGTATGGTTGAGCCACTATCCAGAAGTGCCAATTTCCAACCACAGCTCCCTCTGACCAGGCTTTTGTGTAGAGTTGTCCAATGCCCATTGCTTTGCCCCTGGAAACATTATGAGGGGGAAGATGCCCTCTACAAAGCACATTATAATCCAGGATAAATCCAAACCTGGAGAAGGTTAAAAAAAATTAAAAGGCACCTCAAGGTACATTGACATAGCTGATGTAACAAAATGAAATTCTAGAGCAGTTTCAGCCTCTTTTCTAACCAAATCACTTGGCAGAGCTGTTGTCAAGTCGGCTGTGCATTTTATCTCTTTCTCATCTCCGCCCACACTGTTGATGACCCCTATGAAGAGGAAGATTGCCCAAGGGGGTTATCTGGAGGGAAGAACAGGAATAATCCCCAAATCTACTGTTGGAAAATCAGAAAGTACCAGTATTTCTTCTTTAGAAGGACCCCATTGACCATTCTTTTTGATGCCACACTTCAATTTTCTTATTTCTTCTTCCCCAGCTAATGTTTCATGAGAATTCAAAATCAGTCCCTGATTAGCATTGTGTGCAAAGTGCCTCGGACAGCTTTGAGAGCATTTCCAACACAACTCCTAGAGGCAGGACTGCTTGTGTGGGTTTAGGACATAAACCCAACCTCAGTCATTCAATAGACATTCAATAGACAACCCCACTCTACCATTTACTTGCAGTGTGATCTTGAGCAAATTAATCTTTTTGCGCCTTCATTTGTAAAATGCCAGTGACAAGAGTAGCTGCCTCGTAAGTTTGATGTCAGTATTAAATAAATAGACATTTTTTAAAATAGACATAAAATCTTTAGGATACAGAAATTGCTTCATAAGTATTGACTTGGATTAATGTCATCATCAGCATCACCCATGGAAGACTAAAATAGCACTCAACACTTTGTAAGAGGCTATTCATTTAATTATTTGTTACAGCCATTGTTCATTGCTTATCTCCCCATCCCCAAAATATAAGGCCTTTTTTATTCACTAATGTAGTCTCAGCACCTAGAACAAGTGAGTGACACACAGTGGGTGCTCAAAATAATATTTACTGGATGAATGAATGAGTGAATGAATGAATGAACAAATAGTTCAAGAGACATGATTGTTTCCTGGCTTCCACAACAGCCACCCTGTTCCCAGAGTGGGCCAAAGTACTTACTCCTCAGTTAATGAGACATGAGACAGTGGTGTGAAATGGGAGGAGACTGCAGCAAACCCCCAGGGTCCTGAGACCCTCTCTCTTAATACATGTCAGAAAACACACTGGGAAAACTTAACAGTATGTGCCATATAGATTTTATGTATAGCCATGCTACTAAGAACAAAACATTTTATATGTAAATTCAAATTTCGTTTGATTGTCTGATCAATGATGCATTGTATAACTATTTTAATAAATGATGTTTACTATTTCTTGAGACTACTCTTTTGCAGCTCTTACTTGAATTCAAGGCCTGAGAGCCAAAGAGCTTTTTAGTTGCTATCATGTCAGATAAATATCTCTTCTACTTGGCTTTATTCTTTTCAATTTTAAAACACTGGGAAACGTTCCCAAAGTACATTTTCAAAAGGAAAATCTCCACCAAAAGCTCAAATTGGTGCTAATCTAGTTAAGAAATATAATTCTTGGCATCTGTAGAACAAGGGCCTCTTGTTTTGCTTCTCCAGAGAGTTATAACTGTCCCCGTGAACACGTCTTTATTTCTACCCTGTACTCCCCTGAACTCATTCCCTGAGTGCTGGGCACTGAGTTGTATGTAAGATGATACACATACCAACATGCTCACGTCTGCACTGCGGGGCAAGGTCTATCATAGACTCTGGCGTTAACGGCTGCTGCTAAAGTGGTTTATTTGCACAAGTAGTCATAGGCCTTTCTTGGCACGTGTACCATCAGCATTCCCATGATCTAAAGAATCCTAGTGGTAAAACAGTTGCATGGGCCTCAGATCTACTGCATTAGCGACTCCTTTCACTTCACTCGAGAGCACAGGAGGTTGAATAGTACCTATCGGGTCCCAGGGCCCATGTCCGTCCAGCCTTATCTTGGCCTCCCAGCCCCTTACTCACATCCTGTTGCTGTCAGCGGTGCCCATGACTTCTTGACACACTAGGAATTGTCTAGACACTGTTTAGAGGTTGTGTGAGCCTTGGGTTGCAATTCCTTAGTGTTTATATGAACTGCTTGCTCTTTGCATAATGTTTCACTTCTCCTGTCATTTAAGAGATTTTTAGATGGCCTTTGTGGGAGGAAAACAGAAAAATTGAGTGTGTTAAAGTTTTTTTCCCCATAATGACATTATACATTTTTTAGGGGATTTTATATGTTTCCCTTGGAACCATACTTTACAGACGTTAATAACTGCCTGCTTTTTTTCTCAAGAACATCTAGAACTGTGGAAAAAGTATATGATCAAATTGGCTAAGACAGCCCGTTATTTCATTATTGCTGGCAAGTGTTAGTTCATGTCCAAAGTGCAAAAACAATAGTTGCTGGGAATACTGAATTATATTGACCTTTCACTGTGCCTGCCTGTGTCCACAATTAGTTGGAAACACCTGAGTTCTACTTCCCAATGCCACTACCTGTGGTTTCTTAGCAAGTTACAGGTAGATGTGCTTGAAGACGTAGACCTCTAATGGAAGCTGTGTACCTCTCTAGCTGCAAGTTGTTCTCGCCAAGGACTCAGAGGAGATAAAATAAACACGGGCCAGCAGTTCATTGGAAGCTCTGAGGAACTCTGAGAAGAATTGTTTGATTGTGTTCTATTCTCGAAATGAGGATATTTGACCTGCTATCACTGGAACAAAAATGTGTCATCTAAAAGTTAAATTTGCAAAAGTCTACACATAATGGAGAAATTGGCTGTCTCTAGGAACAACCCAAGAAATTGTACAGGTAGGATTGAAAAGCATCTAATGCTCTAAGTGAGGTAATATGAATAGAACCTCAAGGGAGCAGAGGTAGAATATGATTATAATAGAGAAAATGGACACATGAATTGGCCTTCCTAAAGCCTGTGTGTCTGAAGAGAAAATCAACAAAAAGATGATGTTCACCGTGGAGTCATTATTTTGGCACATTTATCCAGCTGTGCCTAGCGTGTAGAGACTGAATCTGATGAAGTTCCAGTCACTAGACATGGTGATTTGGTTATAGTACAGGAGTGTTATTTTGGTTAGGTTTCACATGGCACAGATGAAATACCTCACAGGATTCTCCTTTGCTCCGATCAGATCTTGAGCTCGTGAGTAGAGATTCTGGTTAGTAATCTGGTTTCTGATATCCTAATAATGTGAAAGGGATACCCAGCTGTGACCTGGAAAATACCCTGACTGTGGATGAGTAGATTGGCATGACTGATTGTCCACCAGCCTTTTAGAAATCTGTTGGTGTACGTTAGCTTCAGTGGACCCAAAGGATTCTGGGTGGCTGACCAAGCACATGCTCAGACTTCCAAAGCTGAAGTGAGAGGAGGGGCACAGCCAGCCTCTCAGGGAGTCCCACAGTTCATCATATCAATAATGGTCTAGTCCAATGAGGCCCCAGTTAAATTCACCGAGAGGGGAGATAAAAGCACAGCCTAGTATTAGAGAAGTAAGGCGGCAGGCCTTGGCCTTTTTGATAGTTTTATAGTGTTAGGAACTCTAAGAAGTTAGGGCAGAAACCAGTAAGTGAAACTGCTATGTAAGCATGATTTGTCACCAAGGAATAGGGTCAGAGCTTTCAATATGGCTGACTTAATGGTTCAATGTCAGATTAGGTTGTGGAATATCTATTTTCTCTGCTCAGAAGTCAGGTTGACTGTTGAGTCCTGAACATGAGTGAAACTGCAGGAATGGATTAAGGGTTTATCAGAGTTTATCTATTTTTGTTTCTAGGGCCTGGGAGGAAATAAAAACTTAAGTTCTAGAGAGTTACCTGGCTCACCTAAAACAATTTAGGGGTTGAGTTGGTCTAAGGCACAGCTTCATGCATGGAACTCAAATGATCTCACCTGAACCCAGTTTTTCTAAACTTATCTCTCATATAGATCAATATTGCCTTGAATCTTAAATAAATTCTGTCCTTCTGAGGTCATGAAATGGTGGCAGCTACTCAAGCTTCCATTCTCAATGCTTTGAATCCATTGGAAAACAGAATCTCTTTCACAGAGCCCTTTAATAGCTCCTTAATTATAATTGGATAACTTGTCCATCCTTGAACCCATCATTTGGACCGGGAAATGTGATTCTCTGGACAATGTCTGAGTCATTTAACCCTTAAAGTCAAGAGCAGAAACATCTTTGTGAGAAGTACCTGAGATGATGGCTGTGGAAGTTGGAATCTGCTAAAAAGTGTGTAACAACTCACCTGCTCCATTGACTGGCCCTGAAAATGAATGGCACTGGGGCGTTAGACTCTTACTGGGCAGTCATGTCACTGGATGATGCCAGTGAGAGGGAGAAGAGCCAGTGGGATCCCCCACCCTCGCCTCCTTTCCTACCACATTATGTTCCCACTGACAGCTATAACAATAGACTTACATGTTTCCCATTAGTATTTAATTAAACAAATATTTACTGAACACCAACCAAAAACCTAGAATTATGGGAGGTTTTACAGGGGATAATTTAAAGTGGGAAGATATAAGTACTTTTTACATGAACAGTTAGAGAAAAATAACTTTTTATTTCTAATGTAATAAAAAGTCAGCTTCCTGAACATGCTGTGCACTGTGCAAGTTTTCTTTATATTTAGTCAGGGGTGGAGTTGATGGTCCCTGGCTGGTGTAGCTCAGTGGATTGAGCGTGGGCCTGCACACCAATGGGTAGCCAGTTTAATTCCCAGTCAGGGCACACGCCTGGGTTGTGGGGCAGGTCCCCAGTAGAGTATGCATGAGAGGTAACCACACACTGATGTTTCTCTCCCTCTCTTTTTCCTTCTCTTCCTCTCTCTCTAGAAATAAATACTTTTTTTAAGAAAGTTTATGGTAGTGAAAATATACCATTCACTTTTAAGAAAACAATTTGTATTTTTCCAATATTATTCCCAAATAAGGTACTTAAATGCTGATAGCATTATTTTATACATAAGATATTGATGTTCAGTCACAAAGTAAATCAAGAACAGAATTATTTTAGAATCCAAAATTCCCTTGCCTATGTTCCTTTGTTTTTTTCTTCTGAATCTCATGAGCTGACACTTCAGTTTTTAAGATAGCCAGAAAGCAATTTCTTCAGCATTCCTTGGGTTGTTTTCTCAAGTATAAATCTGATGTTATTTTTCTCATCAGTGACTCCTGATCACCTTAATAATCAAGTCCAAACTGCTTAGCATGACATGCCAGGCCATTCATAATTACACCCCCATTTACCTCTCCAGCCCCTTCTCTTACCTCCCCGCCCCAGTTTCTCCACATGCATCACACCCCATCCATACTGAGCGGTTCCCAGTTCCCCAGATGCACACACTCTCTCTCTCCTCTATGCCTCCACATGTGCTTTTCCTTCTGTCCACTCTTTTTCTTCCCGTTACCCAGCCATCTCCTATTCATCCACTAGGCCACAACCAAGACATCACCTCCTCCATGAAGTCTTTCTTGACAGCCCCTGCAAGGCTGGATTAGGTGCTCCTTCTTTGCTCCATTAGTACCTTGAACTTTGCCTTTCATGGCTCTCAGTCTCCCTGATAAGAACAAGAGTTCTCTAATACAGTGAAAACAGGGTAAAGCCTTTGTTTTCACAGCTGCACTTTGAGAGCTTAGCTCAAGAAATATTTTTTTTTTGGCTGAGTAAATGAATGAACGAATAATGAGCCACTTGCTATATGTTGTTTTCTCGCATTTCCTCAGAATTACAACCGGCCCCCGGTGATGGCATTAGCCATCCCCATCGCCGTGAAGTTCCTCCACAGAGGCAACAAGGAACTCTGCAGGAATATGTCCAACTACCTGTCCCTGGCTGCAATCACCGAGGCCGAGCTCCTGGCTGACCACACAGAGGTGATAGTCAAGAGCATACTCCAAGGTATGGTGTGAGGGCTGAGCGTGGGGAAATGTTTTAGGAGTCGTTTCAAAGTATTTTCAGTTTGTGGAAAGTGAGACCTAGAGTATTGAGGGGTACCTTTGATTCTCTGCTTTACGACTAGCTAAATTGTGAACATAGGTGAGGTACATTACTTGGGCTGGTTGAGTCTACATCTTTTCAGTGGGCAGATGGCTTATTTGGACTCATCGGATAATTTGTAAGCTTCCCTCTCACTCTACATCTCCCAGTTTGGAGAACTGTGTTTTCCATGCTTCTCGTCACCTTGTTCGTGGACTGGCTATGGTGAACCTGTCTGTCTGCACTGAGTGAAAAGTATCCCTCTGCTCTTGATGGCTGATGGAAAACCTCTTCTTCCTCTGGTTTCCGAAAGCAGGAAACTGTGTAAAGTCTTTATAAATGTGAACATGATTGGGGACTGATTTGTAATTGCATGAAATACTATCCTAAAAACTCAAATCAGGAGTGAACAGTTACCCTCTGTTAACTGTTTTACATTTGCATGAAAGAAAACAAGTTAGTCCACTCAAAATATTATCTTTGTCTTGGGTTTTTTCCTTTGGTTTCAAATCAAAAAACTTTTTTTGGATTTGAGATGAGAAAAAAGTATAGTATTTAATATGCACTGAAGTGTTCGAGGTGCTCATCAATAAAACTGAGTCTCGGGCCCACATTTTACTAACACCCCTCCCCACATGCTCGAGTCGAACATCAGCCAAAGTATTTGGCTGGGAGCACCCAGTAAAGTGCTCCCAGACAAAAAGTATTTCTTGGTATCCCCAAGGGAATCCTTTCTACATGTGCTCTCCTCCTGAGGTGTCCAGACCAGCCCACACGCCTATGCTGCTGTTCTTCCCGGGCTTCCCAGCATGGCATGCCGTAGTGGTGTCTCCCTCCGCCACCCTGGGCCCAGCCAACTCTGTGACTGCGACTGCCACCAAGGTCCCAGGAGCAGACCCCACTCCACACTACCCACTTCTGCCCTTGTGCTGTTCCACTTGAAGATCAGGAGCCACCAGTCCTCAGCCCACTAATCCCATGTGGCAGGGTCAGGGAGAACACCTGGATTTCTCCTTAGTGTTCCATTTTGGTAGAAAGGCCCCAGAACAGGGTTGCTTGCTCTCAGTGCCAGAATGCATTACCAAGTTTGTGGTCAATAGACAGTTCTATGTTTTCTAAAATTGCCTCTTCCCTGGGCTTCACTATCAACCCAAGAGTTGGGCTAGAGAGGAATTCGTCCTCCAGTTCTCAATATGCCTGTGGCCTGCCAAGGACTGAGGTTCTGTTTATTGTACCAGACATTGCCAAGAAGAGTCCCCCACTCCCAGCCCCCAGACAACTGACCAGCCACCCCAATCGTCTGCCAGATGCCCAGATATGTCTGAACCCCAGCCACGACAGCAGAAGTTTATCACTCTCCCTGTGCTCCCCTGGAAAGATTTGTCATCAATATTACTAGTCAGTATCATTCTCTTGGCTACAGGATTGAATTGCTAATTTCACTTTATACATATTAAATTTGCTAAGTCTGGAAAAACAATTATGTTTTTTTTCACCACTTTGGCTACATATTTGGAACAAATTTTATAGGAATTACAAACACTTATACACACCACACATTTTAAATCCATGGTAGTTAGACTTGTAAGTAACTGATATATGAAAAAAAATAATGAATTGTCTCTGTTGCTGCCAAGAACTTAGGTCATGTATTTGGGACTTTTTTTTTTGAAATGCACTTTCAATGACAAAGAAATCTTTTGAAATGCAAAATACACTTTCTTAATTCATTTCAAGCATTTGAAATAAACAAATGATTTGGTTTATTTAATCTGGCACAATGAAAATTACCATAAAATAAATGACAATTTGACCTAAAAGGTTAGGGCTACGTATTTCAGGGTTTAGATTTGTAAGGCAGATAAGTCTGTAAAACTTCACAATCAATCACATGAGCACGTCAAACTTTGAGCTTCAAAGCAGCAGTGATCTTGCTATCTCTGAGTAGTAAGAGTTTTGCTCTGGAAATTTGTGTCATTGACATATCCTACCAAACAGCCTTAGAAGACACCAGAAAGATTTTTTTTTCATTACCTACAGTTTTCTCCCCTCCTCAACTTAAATTATCTGAATCCTCATTCTTCCATTTTTCTACTTCTACAAAAAATGTTAAAGTTTACAGTTGCTTAGTTTGATGTGAGTTTTAACAAGGCTAGAATTATAAAAGTGTCAAATCTTAGGTTGGGACATTACACATGATTTAGCTCAGTTACCCAAACAATGCTTGAATCCCCAATGTGTTTAGTTTTATATTATATATAAACATATTTATTTTATTCATTTTGTTTAGACTTTATTTGTCTGTTTTGTATTGTCTGAACCCTTCCAGTAACAAGGAAATTGTGCAAGGTTCTTCCTTTTGGAGAAAGAATTAAAGGCATTAGCAGAGTGTTGTCTTGATTTGTGCTTGAGAGCTAAGGAGATAGAAAACCTGAACATTTCTCTATCAAATGAGGCAATCGAATTGGTATTTTTAGATCAACCCACTAAACAAAAACAAAAACGAAAACTGTCCCATTTAGTTTTATAGACAAGACATACAAAAAATAATTGCAATCTTATCTAAACTTTTTCAAATAATTAAAAAGAAGTACATTCTGAAGCTAATTCTACAGGGCTGGTTATAGCCATATATCACTACCAGATGAGAACAATATAAGAAAGGAAAATACAGACTGATCTCAATTGTAAACATAGATAAACAAATCACAAATAAAAATTTTAGCAAAATGGCTCTTGCAATGCTTAAAGAAAAAAATAGTACACATTTGTTGAGTGATTTCTCTGTACTAGATACGGAGAAATTGTCTTATGCTGTTTTAATCCATATAATTTTTCCAGTACGGTATGAGGGAGCAATTATTATCCTCATTTTATAAAATTCATAATGACTGAGTTGAATTTACCTCAGGAATGCAAGGATAGGTTACTATTCAAACAGAATTCCCCACAGTGCAGACTAAAGGGGGAAAAAATCATGTGATCAGTAAACATAAACTTCAGTACCCATTAATGAAAAAAAAATCACAAACTAGAAATTTTGGAAAATGTCTTAAACTGATTAAAAGCATATTTATTATACACTTCTAATGTTTCACCACTATATATGGGGATCTGTCCAGAAAGTATCCATCCATGTAATATGAAAAATAGAGACATTTATTGGAGAACATACAAGATACAAGAAACATTGTACACAGGATAATGACTCCTCAGTCCCCTTCAAAGTAGGCACCTTGGGACCTCACACAGTTATCCCAATTGCCATCAGCTGCCCCATCATATTTTCCTGAACCTTATCAATGGTCTGATATCTCTTACATTTCAAAGGTGATTTTAGTTTTGTGAAAAGCCAGAAGTCACAGGGCACCACATCTGGGCTGCAAGGGGGCTGAGTCACCTGGGTGATTTGATGTGTTGCCAAAAACTCTGCATGGGAGGTGATGCATGAGTGGGTGCATTGTTGTAATGGAGCTGCCAATCACCCATTGCCCATAGCTGCAGCCTTCTGAATCATCTGAATAGTTTCCATGGAGGGATGTTCAAGCTTAATGCAAAATTTGATTCAGATTCGTTGTTGTTCTCAGTCGTTTTGAATGTGATGGCCACACAGTACACATGCTCACTCAACGGTGTCTACTGCCCCCACTGAATAGTACGGTGAAGTCTCATTGTTCATGCATGCACATTCCAGTCCACTTTCCTTGGCTGCCAAGTTACATTGATGTCATGCAAACCATTCTCATTAGATTAACAATGGCTGGACATTTTCTGGACATTAAAAGCACTCCTTTAAAGTCAGAAAGGAAACAAGAATGCCACTACATTAACTTTTATCTACTGTGACAGTATGTAACACTAGTTATAAGAATCAGAGACAATAATCATTATTTCTAAAATATATGATTACCATATCAGAAATTCCAAAACTCTCTAGTTAATTCTTCAACATAATAAGAGAAATTTCAGAAAAAAATGCTGAAAATGAAGTCAGTTTATAGAAACCATTGTTTTCCTATCCACCAATAACAGCAAATTAAAATGTAATGTTAAAAATAATAAAGTAGCAACATAAAAGATACCTAGAGAAAAAGACATATGACTTCTGAAAATAAAATAATAAAATTTTATTGAAAGTAATCAAATAAAAGATCAGCAAATAGAGCAATAAACCATGTTCATGGATGGGAAACCTGGATGTAGCAACCGTGTCAATTTTCTCTAAGTTAATCTATAAATGCAATGAAATTTTAATAAAATCCCCACAAAGATTTCTATGAAAGATGATAAGCTGATTTAAAAATGATGAGTGAAGTACACTGGAACAGGTAGCCACAATTCTGCAGAAAATGGGGAAGTTTGGGAAGGATGGGAAGGCATTCATTTCCAGATACCAAGACATCATGAAATCATAGTACAGACCACACCCAGCTTACAATGGTTTAACTTTACCATAGCATGAAAGTGGTACATGTTTGGTAGAAAACAAGCTTTGAATTACGAACTTTGATCTTTTCCCAGGCTAGCCATATGCAGTATGATACTTTTCTGATGCTGGGCAGTGGCAGTGAGCCATAGCTCCAAGTCAGCCACAAGATCATGCGGATAAACTGTTGCGCGTGGGTCACCGGCTAGCAGTGACCACGGCACACTGTGGATGGCTCGACAATACGCGAGAAAAAACACACATGCACAGAGACAAACCAGTTTCTGTGGGGAAGTAGGGACAGAATGGCCACCCCCCCAGTGGGGAGCGCGCTGATCCACCGTCCATACCTGCTTTTATTAGGCTCATTTTGCATAATAACTCAGGTAACATACAATACTCATTAGGGGAAGTAAGGAACATATAAAACAAAGAACTCTGCCGGTCTATTGAGTTGGGGGTCAAAGAGCTGTAAGGCTGAGGAACAAACTAGCTT